GGGTGGGGGCGTGGCCTCATTCCCTCAGCATCTCCAGGGCCAGCATCCTTGGCGGACCTGAGCTGAATCACGCCAAGTCCCCTGGCTGCGGGCGGCAGTCCTCACCTGCCGAGAGGGTGATGGTGCTGAGCTTCACGCGGTACAGGTTGCTGCGGACCCGCCATTGCTGCACCATGGGGTAACCCATGGCCTCATCGTACCTGACGTCTCCTGGGGAGGGAAAAAGAAGCTCATGTGAGCCCCGCACTTAGAGGCCTCACCCTACCACCCCACCCTGCAGCCCTGGGCTCTGGGTAACAGCCACCTCTTCTAAGTGGACAGAGGCTCGGCCCTAGAGTGAGGGCTGTCTCTGGGGCTGGCAGTTTTATCTGGACTCCACCTCCAGGCCTTTTCCTTCCTGGCCTCTGACCTCAGCCCCAACCCCGCCTTTTCTCTCTGCTCTACAGCTCACATGGCCCCCTTTACCCTACAAGCAAGAATGGGTTTACGGTTCCACTAAATCTGGTGGCGATTTGCCATGGGGTGCTAGGTAGCACGGTGCCTCAGTTTCCCCATCTGATACCATGGCTACCTGGGCTGATCTTATTTCACAAGCGTATTGTGAGACTCAAATAAATTAATAGCAGTGGAAGTCCTTTGGTAACCTTGAAATGTCCTACGTGTGGACTGGGGGCCAGAGAACCACAGCCCATTCATCACATATGGCCTAAGGCTACTTTTGCACGATGACAGCAGAGTTGAGCAGTTGTGACAGAGACCATGTGCAAAGCCTAACACATTTACTATCTGACGATTTATGTTTGTTCACCCTCTACAGACTGTTTGTTTCCTAACATGGAAACATAAGATGTCCTTTGGTATCTCGTAAAATACCTGTGCGTACACATAAAAGGTTACCATTTCAAACAAGACCAAGAAACACTGGGTAAACAAAGTTACAAAAGCTTAAAAAAAAAAAGCTGTATAATTTCTCAGCACCTTGAATAAATTAATATGCATTTTAAAGGTACATGAAGATAGTGCACAACATTTTGCAAACTTTTTTGACCAAGGAGCCCCGTTTTTAGGTTTCACTGGAACTCATGTTCCATAGAATGCATTGTGTGAAACACAAGTGTAGACAAAATATAAACAAAGAAAAAAAAAACACACACAACAAAATGTTAGCAAGTGGTTAACTTAGTGTGGTGGATGTGTGAAAGATCCTTGTTTTCTGATTTATATTCATCTCCATTTTCTAAATTTTGTACTCTAAGCACCGCAGACACTCTTTTTCTATAATCAGGAAAAAATACGTGAAAAAGAAATGCTAGTCACATCAGCAGTTACTATTATTGTTGTGTATCCTCTGCAAATGTCAGGCACATTTTCTGTCCTTTTCTCTTGTGCCCTGGTGAGGAGGCACTTAAAGAGATATTTGATACCAAGATGCAAATGAGAATCTCACTGGAACAAATGATTTCAGTATTAAAGTTGTCCATTACTATCAACTTTTTCCCCCCCTTAGCCTCAGGAATAATATAATTTCTTAGAGGCTTTCATTTTAAAGTAAAATATTCATGATCCCCAAAGACATGTCCACTGGAGGGAGGTTGTTTTGTTACAAGTACGTCCTCTCTGTTTATCCGCTCTGCCTGTCCTTTCCTTCCTCTGCAGACACCGGGGAGAGAAGGAGAGGGCCGTGTTTCGAGTCAGGGCAAAGAAAACAGTCTGTACAGGAAGACTAGACACCAGCACCCAGGCAGCCTCTGCCCTGTCTATGATTGCTTTGGCCTAATTCAGAGCAGGCTTGGAGGGGCCGTCCCCAATAGAGGGAGGCAGATATTCTGATGCAGACTGTTGATGCAGCTTATGCACTTGGTGGAATGGTGTCCAAAAGGAAACAAAACAAAGCAAAACAATGCTGCTACCTCTTTTGATTATCCAGAAATTTACCAAACCATCTTCCCTGCCCCTCACCCCATCCCTGGGCCACCCCCATAAGTGATCATCACTCCATCCCTCACTTTCCCCATCCCTGGTCCCTCCTGGATTCCAGCTTGAAATGTAAGCCCCTTCAGTGAAATGTCAGCTCCTTGAGGTCAAGGCCATGGTCTATATTATTCCCACTCCTGCAGAGACAAAACAGAGCCTGACATATAGTAGGCTCTCAATAAATACCTATTTATGAGTCACTCACTTCCTTGCATACTATTCCTGACCAAAAACCCATCCCCGGTCCTACTCAATCTCTGACCCGCATCTTACCTGACTCTATCCTAGATCCCCACCAAAGGATTAGGGGTAAAATGAAGCCCCGGGATTGAGGGGGGTATTTTTTCTGATAAGTAAAAATAATAATAATAATAATAACTCTTACAATGTAACAGTTCCTTTATGAGGACACCTCCAAGGATCCCCAAATCAAAACAAACAATCCTAAGAGTTTGAACCACTAATGCAGATCCACAATGTACTGTATCACAAAAGCAGAGCCAGGGTCCTTACATCTTGGGAAAGTCCCCCAAAAGGGCAAGAGAGGAACTGGGAGAAGATGAGGTGGAACAGATGGGCATCCCACAGTGGGACAGAAAAATACAAGCCTCAGGAGAGCCTGCAAAAGAGGGCTTCTCAGTAGGGGAGAGACGGAGCTTGGGGGTTGGGGGACGGACTGCAGAGTGGAGTGAAAAGGGCAGAAGACCTGGAGCCATGGCACCCGGTTCTAGTCCTGGTGGATTTTCTGTGTGACCTTGATCGGTCCCTTCACCTCTCTGAGTCTAGATTCCTCACCTATAACACGAGAGGAATGATACCCACCCCCCAAGGATGGCCCAGTGCCCCCATTCAAAAACAGCTTGTGTAACTGAGATGCTGTCAACTGAGAGAGGCTCCTGGTCGGGGTGGGGATGGGGGAGGTCCACTTATTTTATTTTAAAACGACCAAAAAATGAACTGCATGATCTCACTTTTATGTGGAATCGAAAAACGTTGGACTCATAAAAGCAGAGAGCAGGATGGCTGGAGGCAGGAAAAATGAGGAGATGTTGGGTAAAGGGTACAGAGGTTCAGTTGCGCCAGATGAGTGAGGTTTTGGGGTCTAGCGTGCAGCCCGGTGACTATAGTTAATAATACTGCACTGTGTACTTGAAGTTTGCTAAGAGAGTAAATCTGGCCTTGGCTCAGAGCTTGGAGTCTCAGGGAAGCCCCTAGCTCTGCACAGTCCATGAGTCCAAGAAATGGTAGGTGGGTCCCTTTCCCATCCCATCCCTCGCGAACACAGAGGCTTGGCAGGGCCCATCCTGGGCGTGCTGAGAGCTGAGATGGACTGGAGAGCAGGTGTGTGGTCAGGGAGCCTGGGGAGGGGTCCAGCATGTGTGTCTTACCGGTGAGCAGCTGGAGGTCTGGGAGGGGCTCGGAGAGGACCCCCCGGCACTGCTCCTCCACTGGCAGCGGGATCACCGACAGCCCGTCGGCCAGCTGAGGAAAGTCCTTGATGAAGTTGTTCTCCCTGTGGAGAGGAGCAGAGAGGCTGCCAGATGGAGGAAGCGGAGGCTGCAGGTGCTGCTGGGAAGGAGGGCAGGGAGCTTGTGGCCACAGAAGAGACTGACTCGTGAGCCGGTGGACGGCCTTGGTGGGATGCCTCTGGCTCCCTGAGTCCCAGCCCCGAGGCCATGGTGCTAAGGACGGGTTCCAGAATCCGGCAGGCTGGGGCTTCAGTCCTGGCCCACCACTTACTAGCTGCGTGATCTTGAGCAAGTTCCTGGTCCACTCAGAACCTCAGTTTCCTTTTCTATGAAAGTCAGATCTCAGGGGAGTTTTAAACACTTAATGGGAGAAAGCTGCCAACTGCCTAAGACACAGTCTGATATACTGTAAACTGTCTCTTTGGCTGCTAAATGTCCCTTTACATAAGCGGTGACAACGGTGAGCCAGGATGTGAGGGAATTGAGGAGAGCATGGCGTGCTTGAAGAAAGAGTGGGTGAGACTGAGCTGGAGAAAGGAAGGCTTGAAAGAATGGGTGTTGGAGTGCTAAAGTGGAAGGATCCTAAGAGATCCTTTGGATCAAACTCCTCCTTTTAGAGATGGGGAAACTGAGGCCGGGAGAAGGGGAGCAAATTTCTCACAGACAACCAACGGGTTAGACCCAAAACCGGATCTCCCCACTCCTAGGCTAGTGCTCTTCCTTGCCCTAAATTCTTCAGGTACCTCTGTCGCTTCTCTGCAGGGCCACTCCAGGAAACAGAAGACAAGCCTCGGGGTGCCCTCGGGGCACTGAACCCTGAACAAAGGTAGTCTTAAGGTGTGGGGGATGAGGTGATAATGCATTGCAGGGAGGCAGGCTTCAATCTTCCAGACAACAGACCTGCCTAAAAATGGAACAGCCTGCCACTGTGAGGTGGTGAGCTTGCTGTAGCTGGGAGTATGCAAGTAGGAAACTTGATAGCCACTTGGCATGGACGGTATCCAGGGCATTTCTGTATTCAGATCTGACTTTTGAGGTCCCTTCTTATTCAGAAATCCTCAGAGTTAGAGACACTAACTACAATCTGGAGAGGAGGAGGGGGAACTGAAGAACAAAGGGAAGGGGATGCTTATTGCTTCATTTTGCCACCTGGAATGGGCAACCTTGAAATGAAAATCAGAAAGAGGCAAACAAAAATCTGTGATGCCAAAGCAATGCCTTTGAAGCCTGGATCTCGGGCAGTTCAAAAGCAGCCAAGCAAGCATTGTGTGACCTGGGTCACCTTCCTTTCTGTACTGCACGTCCCCATGCACTCCACCCCAGGCACCTTCAAAGCTCACCCTCTAGTCATTCATTTAGTGAACACCTTCTCGGTGTCCGACCCCTGAGCAGGTCAGAATCCAGGGGAGAACCCACTGTCTCCATCTTCAACATCACCAGCATCTTCGTCATCATCATCAGTGTCATCTTTGACAACTACTGATTGAATCCTTAATTTGCTAGGCTCTCACTAAGCACTTTGCATCCATTTAAGCATTTAATCTTCACAGTGACCCACAAGATAGTTATCATTATCTTCATTTTACACGAAAGGAAAAATGAGGTTCGGAGTTAAGAGGTGGTAAATTTGGGATTGGAACCTGGTCTCTCCGACTGCACATCTGGTGAGGTAAGTGGCTGGGCTTTGGACTGTCTGCTGGGCATGCATGTGCACGATGTTGAGTTTCTAGGCCCACACTTGTACAGTTAAGCATGCTATTGTGTGCATCATGGGTGTGCCCGTGTTTGTCTGCAGAGCCGTACTTGCTTATGTCTACACGTGTGCCTGTTGTCATGGGTTCCACCTAGGTGTTTGTGGCTGGCCTTTGATTTGTCTGCAAACTTGGACATGTGGGTCAGCCATGTGAATAGAAAAAGAGAACCTGCCAGGGGTCATGGAAGTGCCCCCAAGTAGCATGTAACACCCACCAGGGCCTAAGGAACTAAGTTTCTTCCTGTCCCCCTCATGAGGTGGCCTCTTGTGATACAGACCTTCCCTTAGACATACAATGAGGTGGAGACTGTCCCCCTGCCCTAGTCATTCAACTAACATGCACTGAGCACACACTCGGGGTGGAGCCCTGAGCTAAGCACTCAGGATCCAGAGATAGACTGGCTTCTCCCTTTGTCCTTTAGATCTTCCCAGCTGTGTGGGGGAGACAATGGATCAGCCATGCAGAACAGTCAGTAGGGCCAGCTATCAGGGATTTGGATGGGCTGGAGGCTTTTGGTCAAGGGTCCCTTCCCCACGAGACCCAAGCACTTGTTTTATGAATAGGAGAGGGCAAGACTGAGATGGCTCTGAAGACTGAGTTCCTGATCTGCCCACACTGCATCCTAGCTGTGAAACCTGGAGCAAACCACTCAAACCTCAGTTTTCTCATCTGTAAAATGGGGATCCTAAGCACTCTTCAGCCTGCCTTAGTGAAATCACAATAATAACAATGATGGCAATAACTGTTTGTTGAGTACCTCCTGTGCACCAGGCGATGTTCCAAGTACGTTACATTAGTTCTCACCCAACCATATGAATTAGGTGCCCTTAAGACCCCTAGTTGGGAGGTGGAAAAGCAGAAGCACAAAGCAGTTATGTAACTACTTAAAACTACACAGCCGGGAAGCGGGAGATCTCAGGTGGTCTGGCCCCAAAGCCCCCACTCCACATCACTGCACAGGTGCGGGGCACTGAAGACGCTGCCTGTGACAGTCACAGGCTGTCAAAACTGGAAGAGCCGTAGCACCGCTGGGTGCACTGAGCCCAGACAGGCTGCAGCCTAAAGAAGGGGTCTGTTACTCATTGTAATTTGACCACATACGAGGGGCTCTGCTCTCCAGGTGACTTCACGACCCTCACTCCAATGTTGTGAGATAGGTGCGATTACACCCCCTCTTGACTGATGGGGAAATGGAGGGTCTGAGACGTGAACTGACTTCCCTGGACTTACACACCAAGTGCATTTGGGAAGACGGATCTGAAGGCATGCTCATCACTTTTCACTTTACCACCCAGGGTCACGACTTCACATCTCTGGCTATGTGTTCATAATCACAGAGGAGGGGGACAGTGACACCCTCGCCAGCCCCACGTTCCTGTCCTCTAATCCTTCTGCCTTCTATTTAAGCTGGGCTTGACTCTGGGCAAATCTGACCTCAATCTGACCTCAGGGAGTGGCAGCACAGTGGCCGACCTCAGGAGGGCAGGGGGCCAGCGCACACTCCCCTTCTCGGAGGGAGGTTTTCGCAGGACGCAGGGAGGGTCTCAAGGAAGAGC